TTCACATTGATCGTAAATCTTGGACCGGCGGTCAAACACTGATATTGAGGGATGTAGCATGACTTCGAGCTGTTTTTCGAAGAAAGAACTTTGAATTTTAAAATAGGTGTTGGCTATAGCTAGCAAAAAACAAAAGACTCCAAGGATTAGTCCTGTTGAGGGTAGTCCATTTAGGTAGTCCATTGACAAGGGGTCAGTGTTTTGTTTATCACCTGTAATATATCACCTGAAGCAATTCTGCTGTACGTGTGATACGCACGCATGATGGTCGATTATTAGCTTGCTTTTAATATCCTATTTATGACCAAAACGGTTGAAAAACCATACCTTATGGGGCCGCACATACCTATAGAGCTCATATAAGGGAGTACCCCCCGGGGGGGAGGGTTAACAGCACGTTAAGACCGTTAATGATCAGCAATTTAACAACAGAAAAGACACCATATTGATAGTGATTTTAAAAAAATACAAAACAGTGAAAACGAAATGAATATCAGTTGATTGTCACTGTCACGAGTTTCATAGGAAAGATTCATAAAAGTGCGTTTAATCATAAGCACGCGAGAATTTTCAAACTCGTAAAAGATTCTCGAAAGTTATGCAAACCCTCGACTGCGTGTCGGCTTTGTTAAATTGTTTAAGGTGCTTACGCCCACCAACCTAGAAATTATACCTTTTAACAATTTTTTAAACTAAATAGTTGGTTAATATATATAGATAGGCAAGCCTAACCACAGAGCTCCTAGTTAAGAGGTCATGTATTTGAAGAGAAATATTGTCGGTTCTGCACGCATTACGCACGTATGTGTGAAAACCAATCATAGAGTATGGATGCACGCTTGCCTGACAATCCAAATTAAATCGCATGGATACATATTCTTTTGCTATGGTGCTCCGCTTGCACGCGCTTCTGACTGGGAGTTCTACTATTGACAATACAGAACAAGTGTGTTCATTAAATACTTCAAAACAATGCAGAGCGAAGTGAATCATTTATCAGTGACTATAGTGGTGGGTTAATACCAGTTTTTTAAATCGATACGATACGAGTACGATATTTACCGATATTTCGGTTTTTTTTCGATATTCGATATCGATATCAATACTGTGACGTCATTCAAAATTTTGCTCAGATGTTATCAATTAAGCACTGAAAGCCTTTTAATAGTCCATATAAAAAAAAAAACCATAGCAAAAGTGTATCATTTTTAATTTCTTCTATGGGTACCAAAAAGAACTCAGACTCCCAGAACTATTGCGCATGCCAGGTATTTACGTCACCTCTAGATGGAAGTTGCAAGGTTGCGATTGTTCCTTCGAGTGCAGTACAACACCACTAACGAGAAAAATATTGTTTTAGGGCACTGAAACAGCCTGGAATATTTCATTGAGCAGTCACGAGTGCAGTATTGAAAGAGATCGAAACGATCGATATTTCCCAAAAGTATTGATACTTTTTAAGGAAACGCCAGTGATATCGAGTATTTGTTATCGGTATCGGCCCACCGCTATTTATGACCTATGATTGTCTTAAATCTGTATTATTTCCCAGTTTTTATTGAAGTTGATGTCCTTCAGTGGCTGCCTCTGAAGTGTCATTTTAGCCACATCTGCCACGGTTTTCCATCCCTCGGCATCACTAGCACTGCATACGTTGTTGGTTGGGTTGGCAGGGTCCAGAACAAATGGTGGGCTGCGTGGAA